TTAAAATGAGTAAAGTTGACTTTTTTTTTTTTGGTCAACCATGGGGCTTGAACTCTGGGACTGGACACTGTTCCTGTGCTCTTCAGCTCAATGAGTGCTCCACCATTTGAGCCACAGTGCCACTTCCAGTTTTCTGGTGGGTAACTGGAGATGAGTCTCCCAGACTTTCCTGCGTGGGCTGGCTTTGAACTGAGATCCTCAGATCTCAGCCTCCTTAGTAGCTAGGATTACAAGTGTGAGCCACCAAGTGCCCAGTTAATTTGAAGTTCTTGGGTTGATACTCCTGTGCACTATTTATATCTTTTGCTTTTATTCTTTATCTTTTCATATTATTGTCTTATAAATAATTTTTTTGGGGGGGGTCGGTCATGGGGCTTGAACTCTTGGCCTGGGGGCTGTCCCTCAGCTCTTCAGCTCAAGGCTAGCACTCTACCACTTGAGCCATGGCGCCACTTCTGGCTTTTTTCTTTTTGCTTATGTGGTGCTGAGGAATCAAACCCAGGGCCTCAGGCATGCAAGGCAAGCGCTCTACCACTAAGCCACCTTCCCAGCTCTATGAATAATCATTTTTATTGTGTTATATTTGTTCCTGCTTTGTCTCTTGTCTTTGGTTGTATTATTTTTCTGTGTAGGATATTTGAATTTTTAGTCAAATTTACTGCTCTAAAATAATTGCATTCTTCTTGGGAAAGTTTTCTTCCACACTGACGTTTTAAAGAATTCAGTAACCAAAGTTTGCTAATAGGTCTGTAGTGTGTTATATTCTATTCTGTATTGCTGGTATGGGTTCTGTGGACTGAATTTCTTTTCTTTTTTTTTCGTCGGTCATGGGTCTTGAACAGCACCACTTCTGGCTTTTTCTGCTTATGTGGTGCTGAGGAATGGAACCCAGGGCCTCATGCATGTGAGGCAAGCACTCTACCACTGAGCCACCTTCCCAGCTCTATTTCCACTTAGGGGTGAGCCACCCCCACCCCCTAAGTTTGTTTTTTCACAGACTGATAGAGTCAGCCTGTCCCTTTGTGCCCCTAAATTCTAGGATTAAGCTATCTATGCATCCCACCTAAGGAAGAGCTGAGGTTAAACCCCGGGAGCAAGCAGCCAAGAGAGCCTGCCCAGCCACAGAAGGGGCGAAGCAGACGCCAGAGCCCATGTCTGAGCTGAGGCTGCTGTGTGGCCAAATGGGGACCACTGCTGGTGATGATCAGTGACCCTCAAACAAAGTGGTGGACTAATGACTTTGCTCATGGTCCATTTATTTATAGATGTAGGGTCAAATGGGTGGAGCAGCTGTTGTCCCGGGAGAACAGTGGGTCTGTTCTCCGGAACTGATTGCTGAATCCACTCGTGCTTTGGGTTTATGGCCGTGAGCTGGGTAACCTCGTCCGTAGCGGTAAGTGAGAGGAAGTCCTTTAAAATGTGTGGCTGACTTCACAGCCAGTGGGACGGGCTGGGCAGGCAGCGGTCTCGTGTGGGTTTGCTGCGGAGATTGCATCCGTGTCCGAGCTCTGGAAGCTTGGCGCAGGCCAGTCTCCTCCTCGGGTACAAAAGCAGTCTGGCAGTCCTGTGTGCACAGGGAAGCTAGGCTGTTGCCTCTGCCCTTGTGAGAAGCAAGCACAACCCAGCGAGTGGCTGGCTGTGTGAGCCAGTCCCCTTCTCCCTCAGGCCGCGAAAGCCTGTGTCCAGGGGTTGGGCATGGGCAGCCTTTCACCATGAGACACACCTCTACCTGGGGAAAGAATTGCGAACACATGGAAAGTGCGGGCTTACCAGACGGGCCTGTGAGAGTTTTCCTAAACCAGCTGGCAGTGGAGGCAAGAGGAACGTCCGCCCCTTGCCTCCTTGCGCGCACGCCACTGCAGAAAGGACACCGGCCAAAGAAGCTGCCTGCAGGGCTCCTGAGCAGAGGCCTGGGGCTGCCCAGACCCTCCTGCGGCTACTAGCACTGCTCCCCGGTCCTGCTGTAAACACCAGTTAGGCTCTCTGTTGGCTGATGGGAAGCTTAAGAAAGGCAGGGCTTGCTACTTGGGAAGCTGAGATCTGAGGACTGCGGTACAGAGCCAGCTTGAGTAGGAAAGTCTGTGAAGCTCTTATCTCTGATAAACCATCAGAAAACCAGAAGTAGCTCTGTGGCTCAAAGTGGTAGAGCATTAGCCTTGAGCTGAAGAGCTCAAGGACAGCACCCAGGCTCAGAGTTCAAGCCCCATGACGGGGAAAAGATGCAGGTCTTGATGTCATCTTCATAACCTAAGCCTTGAGGAACCTACGTTCAGATAGGGTATTTACCAATAAGTGTCTTGTAATTCAGTATTTTAATTTCAAATGTAATAGAGTGTTTGTTTATGACCAGCCTTCACAAATATAGAAGCTTCCCCTTGAAATACATACATTTACATTAAAAGGCATCTTTGGCAAGAGTACCAAAATGGTCTCCTGCCTCCTCTGTACTGTGTCGGGTGCCTCCTGACCTGTTGGTTGTGTTTGTGGGAAGGTTGCACTGATGGCTTGGTTGGTGACTGCAGGTTTCTCCTCTGTGAATTTACTTTCTCTTGGTAGCTGAAAAATACCTTGAGGGTGATACTTTGAGGCCAGGTAAATCCTGATTCTCCTTGAAGTGTTGCCCACCAGTTTTAGTATACTTCACAGGATCTCATCTACAACATTTAGTGCTATGGCTGTGGGTGGTTCTGGCCTTTTCCCTCTCCTGTATTTATATATTAACTGGGTTCAGCCAGGAGATTTTCCCCTTACTTATTCAGTTGTTTACGTACTTGTGTATGAAGCCATGGAGTTAGATATAAATGCTGTGGGTTCAAATATAGTACTGTTACTGTGTGATCATAATCATGAAAGAATGTGGAAAAATCCAAGTTGAGGGACACTCCCATGACACGAAAGTTAGAGGGAAACACTGTTAGAGCAGAAAGGCCAAGCACCAGGGACTCACACCTGTAACCTTGGCTACTTAAGAAGCTGAAATACAGAAGACGGTCATTTGAAGCCAGCCCAGGCAGAAAAGTCCACAAAATTGTATCTCCAATTAACTGGCAAAAAGCTAGGCTGGTGGTATTGCTCAAGTGATAGAGTACCAGCCAAGCAAGCAAAAATCCCTGAGTTCAAACTACTAAGAGATGGAAGAAGATGAGGCAGTAGTATCTAAGACTGTGTCTTACTATGTGGAATTCTAGAACTCATGCAGGCTGAGTTTCTAATAAAGTGGGTGGTGCATTTACTAATGCTGCTGATAATTGTATCTAGTTATGGAGGGAAAGAAAGACTTGTACAGGATTAGGGAACACATTATTATTATTTTTTTTTTGGTCCGGTTGTGGGGCCTGAACTCTGTGCCTGGGTGCTGTCCCTCAGCTCTTCAGCTCAAGGCTAGTGCCCTAGCACTTGAGCCACAGCACCACTTCTGGCTTTTTTCTTTTTGCTTATGTAGTGCTGAGGAATCGAACCCAGGGCCTCAGGCATGCAAGGCAAGCGCTCTATCACTGAGCTACCTTCCCAGCCCCGGGAACACATTATTTTTGTAGCTTTTCTTTGAACTATTTAAAAAGCCAATTTAAAGAGCAATATTTAGTAAATAATGAGGAATCTTTCATTGTGAAACAAGTTGGCTTTGGTTATGCTACAGTGGATGATTTTCTTTGGCTCTTCATGTTCACTAATAAGCTTTTGCTCATATTTTGCTTGGTTTACATGTCAGTGTGTAATTATAAATTGGCTAATTCTCTTTCATTGTCCTTTTGTTTTGTACTGGTCCTGGGGCTTGAATCTAGGACTTGGGCACTGTTCTTGAGCTACTACTTGAGCTGTACTTCCACTTCTGGCTTGTTTGGGTGGTTAATTAGGGATAAGTGGTTCACAGGCTTTGGGCTGGCTTCAAACCACGATCCTCAGATCTCAGCCTCCAGAGTAGCTAGGATTACAGGTGAGCCACCAGCACCCTGCTGGTGTGTCTATGAAATGGGTCTAACTGCCAGTGGGCTCAGGTATAGCTTAAAAATGATACTATTCCTTTTGGAGATGGATTCTCACATCTATCTCCAGGCGGACCTGGAGCTCATGAACCTCCTGCCTCAGCAAGAGTTCTGCGATTACGAATATGCACTGCGCATCTAGCTATGATCGGTGTATGCAGCATCTTGGACTCTTAAATTTACAAAAAAAGAAGTCTGGGGCTGGGAGTATGGCTTAGCGGTAGAGTACTTGCCTAGCATGCATGAAGCCCTGAGTTTGATTCCTCAGTACCAAATAAACAAAGCCAGAATGGTGCTGTGGCTCAAGGGGTAGAGTGCTAGTCTTGAGCCAAAAGGAAAGCTCAATAACAGTGCTCATGCCTTGAATTCAAGCCCCAGGACTGGTATTGTGCACGCGCACGTGCGCGCGCACACACACACACACACACACACACAAATTAGAAGTCTGTACTAAAGGTTGGACCAGTTTGGGGAGAAGAGGTGTGTCTTTTAGTATTTTTCCTTTATTTGTTTCAAAAATTTCCCTTTATTCATTTCTTTCTACAAAGTATGTTATTCAAAAATTTTGCTTATAGTGAACATTTTCTTCATTTACTACAAGCCATGGGTTTCCTTTCATTAAAATTCCCCTTGGGCAGCTGTGGGAGCCAGAGAGCACGCGTGTGCCGGCCCACCCTTCAGGGTGGTGGTTTGTAGAACTGTGGCGTGTTCATTGCATTGATGATTGGTCAGATCCCAGTTTTCCCTGTGCTCACGTGTGTGTGTGTGTGCGTGTGTGCGTGTGTGCGCGCGCACGCGTGCAATTCCCCATCAGCAGGTGTGCTTAGAGAGCTTCTGAGTGCTGTAAGTTAGACCTGGAGCACTCCCAGCCTGGGATATCTTGTCTGGTGCAGAGTTTGATTGGAGGGTCTGCAGAATCATTTGGGAGCCAGAACATTCTATAAACTTCGGTGGGAGTGTTTTCAAGTTTAGTATTACAGCCTTCCTTACATTTTTTTTTTCTTTTTTTGCATTTAGGAAGAAAAGGCTTCTCTTTTACATCGTACTCAGGAAGAAAGACGGAAAAGAGAGGTAACAACAGCTTTGTGATAATCGTGATAAATGATCATTTACATTTCAGCTGGGCGCTGGTGTCTCACACCTATAAACCTACCCGTTCATGAGATCTGAGTTTCAGTTTGAACTATGTAGGAGGGGGCAATCCTTAACTCTTTATCTCTCCCCCTCCCAAAAATAAAATAAAGCCAGAAGTGGAGACATGTTCATACAGTAGAGTGCTAGCCAGGAGGCCCTGGGTTCAAGACCCACTACTGCAGAAAAAGAAGTCTTGGCTTTGCTCTATCTATGTGTACCTTCACATATTGCTGGTGACATTGTATCTGTGTGTATGTACTTTCTAGCTTCTGCAACATTTCTGGATGTGACACCAAGTATATGTGCATGCAGTTAGAGTTTGCAACATTTGTAACATAATTGTGCACACATGGGTTTTGCAACATTTCCAGATGTGCTCAGTGTTAATTCTGTAACCCTCCAAGAAAAGATAGGCTTGAAGGGCTCAGTCCAGGTTACAGAAGATTATGGTTCTTGGTTGTGTTTCTTTCTAATAAGGTTTCTAGATAATCTAGTATAGTGTTCACATTTTATCAAGCAAGGTGTTACACGCTTGTCACCACAACTGAGAATGAAGAGAACTTCTTAGGGTCTGCTTTTCTAGATAAGAGTTAATGCTTTGTTATTCTAACAACTCACTCTTGGATTTAGCAGCTTTTTGAGAGCTTTACCTGTGTTGGGCAGACCAGAGTCCTGCTCTGAGGTGGGTGCGTTAGTGAGGTAGCTCTAAGCTGTGGCAGCACGGCGGCTCTGCTGGGAGCAGCCTTTGAGAAGGGCTCTGTGGACTCATGGAGGGTGAGCAGATGCCCTTTGAAGAGCATTCCTGACTGAAGGAGCTGCAGCAGGGTCAAAACTTGGCTCCCTCATCATGGTGGACGCATGGACCCTGAAGGTCCACTGTGGCCGGGGGCTGTCCTTGCCTGGAGGACACCTGGCCTCATCCCTAGATGCTGGCAGTACTTCTACCGGGCAAACCAAAATGGCAGCGCTCATCACTGTCTCCTGTATGGAAAAGTGGCCCTCAGTGAAGAGCCACTGCAAACCAGGGGCCTTGTACTTGCTAATGTTCCGCATCTGTTTTTGGAGCATTCTTGGCCATTCTCACTACCCTTCCAGTAGTGCTCTGCCCTGCTCTCCCTCCTCGCAACTCACTCTGAAAACATGTCTGGCCCTGGCCCTGCGCCCCATGCCTCTCAGGCTCCTTCCTTCCTCCCTTCCTTCCTCCCTTCCTTCCTCCCTCCCTTCCTCCCTCCCTTCCTTCCTTCCTCCCTTCCTCCCTCCCTTCCTTCCTGCCTTCCTTCCTCCCTTCCTTCCTTCCTTCCTTCCTTCCTCCCTCCCTCCCTCCCTCCCTCCCTCCCTCCCTTCCTTCCTCCCTCCCTTCCTTCCTCCCTCCCTCCCTCCCTCCCTCCCTCCCTCCCTCCCTTCCTTCCTTCCTTCCTTCCTTCCTTCCTTCCTTCCTTCCTTCCTTCCTTCCTTCCTTCTTTCCTTCCTTCCTTCCTATCCTTCCTTCCTTCTTTCCTTCCTTCCTTCCTTCCTTCCTTCCTTCCTTCCTTCCTTCCTTCCTTCCTATCCTTCCTTCCTTTCCTTCTTCCTTTCTTCTTCCCTCCCTTCACTCCCTTCCTCTTATTAAGCAGTTGTACAATTCCATAAGTCAGGTTATGAGTACAATGCTTCATGATCAGTGTCATTCCTTTTATTGTTCCATTTTTTTCCCCTCCCCTCCTTATCTTCAAGTTACGTAGTTCAGTTTTTACATAATGTACATTGAATATACTGACTGCTTTTTTTTGCTTACCCCTCTGGGCACATGCACAGAACAGGAACATCTATTGCACAAGAATTAGATTAATGGTGGCAAGTAGGGTACTGGTTGGCACAGGGTTTGGACAGGTGGGCGATGATGAAGAAATCCTGAAACTAAATTGTGATGCTGGTACATGACTTGGAATGTACTGAAAATAGATTCAGTGGATGGCATGCTTTATTGAATGAATTTTATGGTCTGAATTCTATAGCTAGGATTTTTTAAAACCTGACTAGCTGAAAATCATCTTCACTAATTCGGACCAATTAACTGCTTTCCTCCTTACTCCATTATTCAGGAGGAAAGGCGAAGATTGAAAAATGCAATAATTATCCAGTCATTCATTCGAGGCTACAGAGACAGAAAACAGCAAGTAAGTTTGTTTTTTATTAGTTTACATTAATTATGAGTGTGTATTTCACTGTTATATTTCCACACATTTGCAGTAGATGTGTGTGTGTACATGTCTATGAATATGCATATCTTTTAGGTCTAGCTTCCACATATGAGTGAAAACATAGAATATTTTGTTTTGGAGGCTTGTCTTGCTCAATGTGATATCCTCCAATTGCATCAGTTTTCCAGCAAATAACATCATTTTATCTTTTTTTTAAATAGCTGTGTTTAATACAGTTCTAAAGTTTTCTTATTTTTATTATACAAATGAAATACAGAGGGGATGCAGTTAGTTACATAAGTCAGGTAAAGAGTACATTTCTTTTTTTGGACAATCATAGTTTATCTTTAAAACTAAGAAAGAACTAGAAAGTCAACCCATTTTAAATATGGTAGTGTTCTTTTTTTTTTTTTTTTTTGTGGGGCCTGAACTCTGGGCCTGGGCGCTGTCCCTCAGCTCTTCAGCTCAAGGCTAGCGCTCTACCACTTGAGCCACAGCGCCACTTCCGGCTTTTTTCTTTTTGCTTATGTGGTGCTGAGGAATTGAACCCAGGGCCTCAGGCATGCAAGGCAAGCGCTCTACCACTGAGCCACCTTCCCAGCCCCTATGGTAGTGTTCTTATAAATGGCATCTGTTTTTCTTATATTTTGTATACCTGTTTAGTGAAAGTTTTCCCTGGTAAGTAATTTATATTTACATTAAGGTTTACACACAGATGAGTTTTTAGGTGATTTTAAAATCGTGAGATGGGGCTGGAATTTTCCATAATAAAGAAAATGAAGGCTGGGAAGGTGGCTCAGTGGTAGAGCACTTGCCTTGCATGCCAGAGGCCCTGGGTTCAATTCCTCAGCACCACATAAGCAAAAAAGAAAAAAACCCGGAAGTGGCGCTGTGGCCACAAAATTATGAGATATAAACACAGGCCAGACCACAGCTGATGGATAGCAAGAAGGGTAAAAGGTGCTGCTTAGTGAGTGTTAAGATCTTGTTCCCCAGCACGAATAAGGTTTGCTGAGGTTTATTTAGACCTGTCACTGTGTCCGAATTACACATTTACGTGTCCCTCCCTTTGCTTGCAGTACTCCATTCAGAGAAGTGCGTTTGACCGCTGTGCCAGCGCAGCCCAGGCTCGCGGCACCTCCATTGCAAGTGCTCCAAACCTTACCTTCCTGGTACGGCAGCTTCTGTTCTTTTATAAACAGAGTGAAGACTCAAAGCGCCTGGTGAGTGCTCACTCAGATTTTACTTGCTTTCTGTTGTTAGAAGACGCTGGGGGGAGGGGAACGAGGGAGAGAAATGAGGGGGAGGGGTAACAAGTTAGACTGTAGCCCCTCTGTACATCACCTTGACAATAAAATTTAAAAACAAGAAGAAGAAGCTGAGTGGCCCCTCCCTTTAAGTGTTTGTGAGCATTTCCTTTTCCTCAGCCAGCTGCAATAGGCCACCTCTGGGCTGGTGTGTTTTCTTTCATCTTAAAAGTGAGGTTTTCTTTTTCTTTTTCCTTTTTCTTTCTTCTTTTTCTTTTTTTTTTTGTCCTGGGGCTTGAACTCGGGACCTGGGCGCTGTTGCTGTCCCTGAGCTTCTTTTGCTCAAGGCTTATACTCTACCACTTGAGCCACAGAAGCTACTTCCAGCTTTTTCTGTTTATGTGGTGCTGAGGAATCGAACCCAGGGCTTCATGCATGCAAGGCAAGCACTCTACCACTGAGCCACCTTCCCAGCCTTCATTTTCTTTATTATGAAAAATTCCAACTGTTTATAAAAAGAGTGCAGGCCAAGTGCTGCAGGTGGCTCCTGCTGATACACCTGTAGGAGGCCAAGATGGGAAGGATCTCACTTGGAAGCCAGACCAGGTAGAAAAGTCTGAGTGATCATAAGTCCAGTTAACCAGCGAAGTCTGGACAAGTAGACTGGTGGAGGGCTCATTGTGAGCAAGATACCCAGGCAAGAGTGCAAATCTCTTGAGTTCAGGCCACAGTACTAGCACACAAAAAGCTTAAGTGAGCTGGCGCCTGTGGCTTATGCCTGTCATCCTAGCTTCTCAGCAGGCTGAGATCTGAGGATCGCAGTTCAAAGCCAGCCTGGGCAGAAAAGTCCCTGTGAGACTCCTATCTCCAGTTAATCACTCAAAGATCAGAAGTGGCTCAAGTGGTAGAGCTCTAGCCTTGAGCACAGAGAGGCTCAGGGACAACACCCAAGCCCTGAGTTCAAGTCCTACAACCCACCAAAAAAAAAGCTAAAGTGTGTGGTCGAATCCTTCCCTTGTGCACTTGGCAGTCTGCAGTCAGCCAGCACCACGTTCTTCTGCAAGCAGCCTCCACAGCTTTTAGATGGCTGAGAACTTCATCTAAATGTTACTTCAGGATCATTCTCCAAGCAGTGGGTCTCTTAACATCTGACACATATTTCTCTACAAATTTCATAGGCTTTTATCTTAGTGGAGCAGCCAGGACCATTAGTGGTGGCAGACACACAGTAAACTTGAACACAGAGCTCTTGCTAGCTCTAATAGCTGAGCCTCACCTCCAGTCAACAGTTTTGTTATTAATTGGAGATGCCGTCTCTTAGACTTTTCTGTCCAGGCTTGCTTTGAACTGAGATTTCAACCTCTTGAGTTGCTAGGATTACAAGCCTGGGCTACTGGTGCCTGGCTTGATAATAATAATTATATATATATATATATATTTTGCCAGTCTTGAGGCTTGAACTTGGGGCCTGAGCACTATCCCTGAGCTTCTTTTGTTCAGGGCTAGTGCTCTGCCTCTTGAGCCACAGTACCACTTCGGCCTTTTCTGTGTATATGGTACTGAGGAATCGAACCCAGGGCTTCATGCATGCTAGCCAAGCACCCTACCACTGAACCACCTTCCCAGCCCGGTAATAATTCTTTTTAACATGTAGTTTGTAAGCTGGGCACTGGTGTCTCCCACCTACAACGCTGGGTACTCTCCAGATACTTTCAATGCCAGCCTAAGTAGAAAAGCCCATTAGACTCCCTATCCAAAACAACTGGCACAAAAGAGATGGACGGGTGGGGTACCAGCGGAGCAAGCCAGCAGAGCCAGCCAGAGGCTGAGTTTACACCTTTTCCCTGAAAACAGAAGCTTGTTATCCTTTTTTTTCCAGGAAATATTATGAGACTACTGTGTAATTGTTAGATGAATTACATATTTGTAGATATATTTTTGGATAGACAAAAAGGGTAGAGAGGAAATCTTCCTGGCTACAAGCCATGCCCAGTAGAATAGTCTGCCGCACAGTATGTGCTACGCAGAGGACAGAGGGCCGCTTTTCTGCTGTCCAGTCCTACAGCTAAGCCCTGCTAGACTGGGATTTGGGAAGGGCTTTCTGAAACTGGAGCTGATCTAGAAGCATAGCCAATTCATTTCCCCTCAGTTTGGCCCATGGACAGCTCTTTCTAGGTTTCCTGTTTGAAATTCAGAAGAAAAAGAATTAGAAAGGCACAACAGCAAGCTGTCTGTCTTCGTGCCTTCTAACATTGCGATTGAAAGGTTTTTTTGTCCAAGAGCAGAAGCATGCCGGTGCTGTGGTGTCTTTGAAGCACCCATCTCAGTGTACAAGGGCTAGACTTGAATCTGATTTCTAAATTGGAGTTTAGACTTACTTCAGAAAATGGCAGTGAAAAGTTTGGAGGTAAATGTGTACTTTGGCTCTAGGCCTTAGGCACCTAAAAAGCAAAAGTGTTCACATGCAAATTCTGAAATTTTAAGTACAGCGTTTTAAATTTTAAGTAGATTCATTTAAGAAAAGTAGCTGGAGGCTGGTGGCTCACATCCGTCATCATCCTAGCCACTCAGGACACTAAACGATACGATACGATATGATACGATAACCGCGGTTCAAAGCCAGCTTAGGCAGACAAATGAAATGCAAGAGTTCCATGTCTTTGATTAACCAGCAGAAAGCTAGAAGTAGAGGTGTTGTGGCTCAAGTGCCAGCCTTGGAGCATGAGACCTTGAGCTCAAGTCCTTACAGTACTGGCACAGAAGAAAAGAAAGAAAAATGAACTCTATTCAGTTGGCTAACAAATGCAGGAGGGCTGGGAAGGTGGCTCAGTGGTAGAGCGCTTGCCTTGTATGCCTGATGCCCTGGGTTCGATTCCTCAGCACCACATAAGAAAACCAGAAATGGCGCTGTGGCTCAAGTGGTAGAGCACTAGCCTTGAGCTGAAGAGCTGAGGGACAGCGCCCAGGCTCAGAGTTCAGGCCCCATAACCGGACCCCCCCCCCCCCCCCAAAAAAAAAAAATGCAGGAGTAGTCATGCCAAGAAGTCCCCTGCCTACGGTCAGGTTCCCACTCAGAAGCAGCCATCATGTGACCCTTGATGGTTCTTCAAAGATACCCTGTGTAAAAATAATCACATGGGACCATGCGCTCTCACATGCAGCCTTTGTTTTCTTGTGATTATTTTAAGTACAGATCTGTTGCTCTTATTTCTTTCACATGTAGTTTGCCTTTCATTTTTCTGGAGTCAATCCTTGCCTCACTTTTTTACTTTTTATTTATCTATTATTTTGGGGAGTTATGGTCTTGAACTCGGCCTGGGCACTGCCCCTGAGCTCTCTTGCTCAAGGGTAGCAGCACTCTACCACTTTGAGCCACAATGCTACTTCCAGTGGTTAATTGGAGATAAGAGTCTCACAGGGACTTCAAACCACAATCCTCAGATATCAGCCTCCTGAGTTGGCTAGGATTACAGGTGTGAGCCACCGGCACGCAGCTAAATGGTTATTATTAAGGGGTTATAATTCCAAAGTCAGGTTATGAGTTTAGTTTCTCCATCCCCACCCACAGGTTGCATAGTGTACTTTAAATACAATGACTGTATCTGCTCCCCTTTCCTTCCTTCATTCTTGTGCTCTTCCTTTTCCCACCCCCAAGGCAGATCTCTATTTCCTGCTTTGATAAATAGTACTTGAGCTGTTGAGAGGAGTTAGGCCTTTGGATGCCTCTCCTGTGTGTACCTCCTTTAGTTCTGTTTGTGTATCAATGCTTAGAGCCCTGGGTATGTCATCATGCTTAGTTGTATTTTAGATCTGGCTTCCACGTGTGGGAGAAAACTTGGTCCATTTGTCTCTCTGGGATGGCTTAACACAATGTGTTCTAGGTCCACCCATCTCCCTGCAAATGATAGATTCTTTCTAATGGCTGTGTAGACTTCCACTGTGTACAGGTACCCCTTTTTTGGATCCACTCATCTATTGTAGAACATTTGTGCCTAGCTGTTGTGAGTAGTGTAGTACTGAGCCTAGACACGCAAATGTCTTTATGGTATCCTGGCTTGTGATGATCTGGGTGCCCAGCAGTGGTATGGCTGGATCATAGGGAAATTCTATGTTTAGGAATCCCCAGACTGCTCTCCACAGTGGTTAGACTAGCTCACATTCCCATCAACGGTGGCCACCTCTTCGCCAACATGTTATTGTTAGTTTTCTTGATAATGGCCATTTTAAGTGGGTAAGGCGGCATCTCAGTGTTGTTTTAATTTGCATTTCCTTTTTGGCCAGAGATATTGAGCACTTCTTTATGTGTTTATTTACCATTCTTTCTTTTTCTTCTGAGAAGTCTTTATTTACTCCTTTGCCCATTTCTTGATTGGATTATTGATTTTGGGGTGTGTGTGGAGAGTTTCTTGAGCTCCTTGTGTATTCTGTCAGATATAGTTGGTAATGATCTTCTCCTCTACTGTTGCTATCTTTCTAGTTTAGTAACTGTGTCCTTTGCTCTGCAGAAACTTTAGTTTGATGTGGTTTCATTTGTCAGCTCTCATTTGTTGTGCCCCTGGGATGCTCTTAAGAAGGTTCCTGCCTATGCCGATAACTTCTAATGGTTCTTGTACTTTCTTGTAGTACTTTCAGAGTTTCAGGCCTGAAATCTCCATTTTGAGTAGATATTGGTACAAGGTGACAAACAGGGATCCAATTTTAGTTTTCTACATACGGATGTCCAGTTTTCCCAACACCAATTATTGATGACTGCTTCATTTTTTTTTTTTTTTTTGGGTCCAGTCGTGGGGCCTGAACTCTGGGCCTGGGCGCTGTCCCTCAGCTCTTCAGCTCAAGGCTAGCGCTCTACCACTTGAGCCACAGCGCCACTTCCAGCTTTTTTCTTTTTGCTTATGTGGTGCTGCAGGGCCTCAGGCATGCGTGGCAAGCGCTCTACCACTGAGCCACCTTCCCAGCCCGACTGCCTCATTTTTAATGCATGGTTTCTTCCAGCAGCCCTGTCTCCATTCTCAGTGTACCTGTCCATGCTGTCCAGTGCTGTCTGTCCCCGCTTGTGTGTTCTTGCAGGCCTGCCATTATCCTGGGAAGCCTTAGCTTTTCTTCAGTTTCACACTCTCCTTTCCTGGCATCTCCCTGTTGTTGATTTCATTCTTTGTGTCTTTGATACGTGCACATCTTCAGTTGGGCATTGAGGCAGGGTGAGAGTGGCTGGGGGACGGGGAGTGCAGCTCAGTGATAGGAGGAGGAGTGGAGGAGCGTTGGCAGGGCGTGGCTCTGTCCTTGCAACTCCTTCCACTGGGCAACAGCAAAAAGTGAAGCAAAGCACAGGTTTAATGGCTGTAACTTTTTGGATGCTAATAGTGCACTGTCGTGATTATAAAATCTAGTAGGGTCCGATTCCAAGAGTTTGTCTTTAGCTTTTTTTTTTTTTTTTTTTTTTTCATTTTTTTTTATTTTGGGGATTGGATCAGGACACTGTACTTTCTAGGTGAGTGCTTTGCCACTGAGCTACGTCCCAGCCCTGTCCTTTGGCTTTTTGTGGTGTATTATCATTGTGCATCTTCCTCATTTGTTAATAAATAGTATAGACTTGAAGATGCACAATGTTTCATACATGTATTCATTTCATGTTGGTTCCAAGAAAATACAGGTCACTTCAGACATCTCAAAAAGATGGTGTACACAGGCAAGTTACGGATGTGTATAGCACATTTGTAACTATCTGTAGGAACGAGGATATCTTATATTCCCATCTTACTGGAAATGGGTCTCACAAAATTTTAAAACAATACCCGTCTGTTTTATAAAATAGAAAAAGCAGAAGAGAGTCCTTGTTTTGAGTTTTCAGATCCTTTTTTGGCAGACACATCCATACTACATAAAGTTAGGCCTCTTGAATACAAGAGATCTTACAAAACTCACCTGCTAGTCATCTGGGGAGAAGAGCCCTTGGCCAACCCGTCCATCTACTTGATCCTTCCTTGTGTTGAGGGTAGCGGAGCCACATGAATACCTTTCTTATCAAAGGTGTAGGGAGGAGCCTCAGATCCGAGGATTGCAGTTCTAAGCCAGCCCAGCAGAAAAGCCTTATTTCCACTTAAGCACCAAAAAGCCAAAATGGGGCCATGGTTCAAGCAGTAGAGTGCTAACCTTGAGCACAAAAGCTCAAGAAAATGTGCCCAGGGCCCTGAGTTCAAGCACCAGGACTGGCATCAAAACAAGAGTAAAAAACATGCAAGGGGTTAGAAATGAAAACACAGAAAGATGCTAGAGATGTGTGTATAGTCCACACATGTACGGAAGGAAGAAATCTACGTATTATATATTGCTGATTTTTTTGCAGGTGAACTTATTGCTTCAAGCTTTATGAAGCTTTGTTTTAGTACTCTATTTTAGTAACTAATGGTAAGGTTATTAAGATGGGGGAAAGTAATGCTAAGAAAATCTTGTTCTAGGAACTTTCTCTCTCTCTCTCTCTTTTTTTTTTTAAATTTTTGCCAGTGTTGGGGCTTGAACTCAGGGCAGACATTCTCTAAGTTGCTTTTTGCTCTCTATCACTTGAACCACAGCACCATTTCTGGCTTTTTGTGTTTATGTGATACTGAGGAATGGAACCCAGGGCTTCATGCATGCTAGGCGAGCACTCTACCTCTGAGCCACACTCCCAGCCCCTCAGGAACTTTCTTAGCAGATTTTGATTAGGCTTGCATGTAAGAGTCCACTTTGGATTCTTTAGTATTCTGTAAACTAGCAATGGGTTCAAAGTTGTATTTTTTGTTTTGCTGTTCCAGATATGGCTGTATCAGAACTTGATTAAACATAGCTCTCTGTATGTCAAGCAGTTGGATGGATCAGAAAGGCTGACATGCTTATTTCAGATAAAGAGGTTGATGAACCTCTGCTGCAGGTGAGTTTGCGCGGCTTATGGAATGTGCTGGTCATCTCTGGTGCCGGCAGAATTCATGTTTGGGAGATGAAAAAGGAGGAAAGGGAGATACAAGATTTGGGAGAAGGCTGACTGTGGAGAGGTCGGGGTGGAGGGAGGCTTGAACTCACCCTGGGGCACTGTTGCTGTTCCAGAGATTTTTCAGTCAAGGTGACCACGTGAGCCACAGCTCCACGTCCAGCTTTGCTGGTGATTAATTGGAGGAAGAGTCTTCCTACATGAGTTTGCTTCAAATTGCAACCCTCAAATCTCAGCCTTCTGAGTAGCTAGGATTGCAGAGGTGAGCCACTGGTACCTGGCTGTGGTTGCCTTTTTTTTTTTTTTTTTTTTTTTTTGTCGTTGGTCTTAGGGCTTGACCTTTGGGCCTGGGCACTGTCTCTCGGTTCTTCAGCTCAAGGTGAGTGATCTACCACTTGAGCCACAGTACCACTTCTGGTTTTCAGTGATTAATTGGAGATAAAGTCTCCTGCCTAAGCTGGCTTTGAACCATGATCCTTAGATCTCAGCCTCCTGAGTAGCTAGGATTATAGGCGTGAGCTGCCGGTGCCCACCTGTGGTTGACTTTTTTAAATGTGGCGGGCAGTCTTATGAGGTGGTGATGTGGGCAGGAACGACACAAACGGTTTGGTGCGCTGGCTCCGTCTGGGGTCAGAGCCTGCCTGGAGGGTAGTGGGAGTCACCATGCACCCTTTAGAGGATTCAGCTTTATTCTGAAGGGAACAAGGCAAAAATAGAGTTTGGAGTACAGTACTACAGCCTGAGTTTTCTTCCCCATCCTGTCAATTTTTAGTATGACAGGCTTAAGTACCACAGAAGAGAGTTGGCAGTTCCCCACATCGCTGACACTGCCCTTCCACGTTTGACATCACTCCCCAGGTACTTCTGTGTCCACCTCTCAAAGACGTGCTCCAGCCAGAGAGTGGGTGGCCTCTGAGAGTGCTCGAAGCTGGCATGCTTACAGTCCCAGCCACTCAGGTGGTGAGGTCTGAGGGTCATGGTTTGGAGCAGGCCTCGGAAGACAAGTCCTCAAAAATCCAGGACTAGAGGTGTGGCTCACGTGGTAGCGCTCCAGCTATGAGCAGGAAAAGCTGAGTGAGAGAGGAAGTCCTGAGTTCAGGTCTCAGTACAGGCATTTGCAAATAAAAAGTGGTATTCACTAACACCCGGAAGCTAGTGAGCAGATTGGCAGTCCCTGGGATGGAGGTGGGCTTGATTGAAGTTTCAGCCCATTTTCAGATTTCCCCGTTTTCTTCACAGTGTGTTCTATGCCTTGAACTTTGAGCTTTTGTGTTCAGCTAGCACCTGCCACAGCTCCACTTCTGGCTTTTTTGTGGTTAATTGGGGATAAGACTCTCACAGACTTTCTCGCCCAGGTGGCTTCAGATCTCAGCCTCCTGAGTAGCCAGTAGTACCTAGCTCACACAGTACATTTGATGTCTTAATTCCCCATCTAAAAGTGCCCTCCCCACACCTCCAGTTCAAGTGTCAGTGGACCCATCCTGTCTTGTGTACTGGACATGACCGTGAAGAAGGGAGAGCAGAGTCGGGCCAGTTAGGGACGAGGCCAGGCAGAGCCGGACAGGAAGTGAGGCCGCGGCTGGGAGCTCGGAGAGGCCAGGCCTGTGTGCACGCGAGTTCTCAGTTTGAACGCTGGAGTAATGTAGTCTTAGAGACTCGAAGGACCTAAAACTGGAAGGGCTGAGCAAGCTAGAGGGAAGACAACAGAAGCTGGGTCCCTAGGGACCTTTCTCTTCACCACGGAAGACATGTACAGAAAGGAGGACAGGACAGGACAGGCCCTGGCAGAGCTGACGGCCCAGGAGTGTAGTCAGCACAGATGCCTAGAGTGGAGTAAGCTGGCTAGGGCTCCGGAACCTAGGTGAAAGGTTTATTTATCATATTGTTCCAATGAAACACTACGATCTATTCAAATGAAGGTTTGCCTCGTGACAGCTGTATGCTCTTCTAGGCAGAAGCCTTTGGTTTCTGAGGAGCAGTAATAGCTTGTGTAATAGTACTGGGTGGGAACCCTAGGCTCCACTCAGCTTACTACATCCAGACACACCACTCTGTCTGTAGCACTGAGGTGGACCTGGCCTAGGCCTCTGGAGGCTCCCCTGAGCAGCCCTCTGGCCCCTTGGCGTAGGGGTGAGGCTGCTGCTTTCAGGGACCAGCAGGGAGATAGCATGGAGAGTTGAGAGCTGGTGCCCAGGAGGGCAGAGCAGTTGAAGGCAGTGGGGTAGAACTGCTCACAGCAGGCCTGAGGAGGGGCCTCGGCGGCTGGGGAGGAAGACATGCCAGATCAGAAGGAAGAGGGTAGGATGTGCCCCGAGAGATGGCAAAGCAAGGTAAAGGGGCTAACAACCCAGTTAAAAATGGGGCAACATGCCAGGCGCCGCTGGCTCTCGCCTGTGATCCTAGCCACTCGGAAGTCAGATCTGAGGATTGTGGTTCAAAGCCAGCTCAGGCGGGAAAGCTTGGGAGACACTCTTAACTCCAATAAACCACTCAGAAAAAGCTGGAAATGGCACTGTGGCTCAAGTGGTGGAGCGTATCCTTGAGTAAAAGAAGCTCAGGGACAGCACTCAGGCTCTGAGTTCAAGACCCAGAACTAGTACAAAACAAAAACAAAATTGGGCAGCATATACAGGCACTTAGTTTTGAAAAGGAAAACACTTGGGTGACTGTTGCACACTTAACATTTACGACCTGTAACCAAGGAAATAGACCATACCTGCAGGCCTACTAGAAGGCTAAATGTCTAAAACTTCATTACCAGGTGTCAGGTGGGGAGTAGCAGGGAGTCATTATGTTTCTTAGGAATGTGATGGTTTTGTGTAGCTATCCCCGCATGCATGGCTCTTCCACACTGAAGACACCGGTCCAACAGTGTAGGGGCTGTGGGGGCTTGGGGGTGTGGTACCTGTGAAGCTTCCTCACCGTGCCAGGGCAGGAGCCCTAGGGCGAGGGAGGGGCATGTGCTTATGCTTACACCTTGGGTGGCTGGTACGGTCTGTCAGTTGCAAGGGTATGGCCACTGGTTGGGTGCAGAGCATTCTGGTAACAGTCGTATGGTTACAGTTAAGAGAAGATACTCACTAGTGGCTCACTCCTGTGATCCTAGCTGTTCCAGAAGCTGACATCTAAGGATTGAAGTTCGAAGCTAGTCAGGCAGGAAAGTCTGTAAGACTCTTATCTCCAGTTTATCAATAAAAAGCAGGAACTGCCAGGGGTGGTGGCCCACGCCTGTAATCCTGCCTAATCAGGAGGTTGAGATGTGAGGATGCCAGATGCCTGTTCAAAGCCTGCTGGGGCTGGTAAGGCTGTGAGACTCTTATCTCTAATAAACCACTAGAAAACTGGAAGTGGTGCTGTGGCTCAAGTGGTAGAGCACTTGCCTGGAGCTGAAGAACTGAGGGACGGCACCCAGGCCCAGAGTTCAGGCACACATACACACGCACACCTAGCACTGGAACTGTTCTATACACACACACACACACACACACACACACACACACACACACACACACACACACACACACACACACACACACACACACACACACAACTGGAACTGTTCTTCCAGTGATAGAATGCTGGCCTTGAGCAAAAAAGTTCAGGGACAGCCCTAGGCCCTGAGTTCTAGCTTCATTACCAGAACAAAAAAAAGGTTTTGAATGATCCTCTGTAACACAAAAGAGTTCAAGCCCCAACATTCTCATTCTCTCTCTCTCTCTCTCTCTCTCTCTCTCTCTCTCTTTCTCTCTCTCTCTCTCTCCCTCTCTCCCTCTCCCTCTCCCCCTCCCCCTCCCCTAGCTTCATTACCACTACAAAAAAAAGGTATTGAATGATCCTCTGTAACACAAAAGACTAAACTAGTGATAGCAGAGCCTCTGCTGGCAGGAGCGAGTCTCTGCTCTAGGTGGAAGGCTGTGTTCCGTCTGTTTTGACATGGTAAACACTCTTAAGTCTAGAGGACATATTTGATCCCTTGGCCTTTGAGTTGTGCCTGTTGTCAGAGAAACTTGGCATTAAAAACCAGAATAGCTGAGATGCTGGGCTCGGTGACTAGGAGGAATTGGGGAATTCTGATAACTTTAGATATGCAGTAAGTATGGACTTTTCATTTTTACAGGCTGCTGCAAAACTGCAATGATGACAGTTTGAATGTTGCCCTTCCAATGAGAATGCTTGAGGTGTTTTCATCTGAGAATACTTACCTGCCTGTTTTGCAAGATACTAGCGATGTGGTGTCAGTGATCGAACAGATTTTGCACTACATGGTTCACAGTGGTAAGCGGGGGTGGGGCAGCTAGGTGGGCATCATCATGGCAGGGGTGGGGCCTGTGCTGCTGGAGCAGCTGCTCTGATCAGCACACCGAGGCCTTCGGAGCAGAAGCAAGTGTGTCCTGTGAGTCTCACTGCAGTCAGGAGCTCCGTTGCTCTGCAGCTGTGGAAATGGGTCGGCTCTATGAACATTAGGGTCTCTTAGCTTGCCAAGGAGGATGGTGGACTTGTGCTGACAGCTCGCTCCAGGCACTTGAGTGGAGGATTGCTTTTGGGGGGGGGGCGGGGGGGGGGGACCAGTCGTGGGGCCTGAACTCTGGGCCTGGGCGCTGTCCCTCAGCTCTTCAGCTCAAGGCTAGCGCTCTACCACTTGAGCCATAGCGCCACTTCCGGCTTTTTTTTTTCTTTTTGCTTATGTGATGCTGGGGAATCGAACCCAGGGCCTCATGCATGCAAGGCAAGCGCTCTACCACTGAGCCACCTTCCCAGCCCCCACATTTAATTTTAAGACCTCTAATGACCGGCTGGACACTAGCTCACAGGTAATCCCAGGCTGGAGGCTGATATGGGGAGGATCCTATCAAGGCTAGCCATGCAAAAAGTAAGATTCCATCTGAACAAAAATGTGGCATGCTCTTTATGCCTGTAGTCCCAGCCCAGGCCAAAAAACATGGCATTCTGAAAAAAAGAAAAAGGGAGGCTGGCGCTGGTGGCTCACCCTGCAGTCCTAGCTACTCAGGAGGCTGAGATCTGAGGATGGCAGTTCAAGGCCAGCCTGGGCAGGAAAGTCCGTGAGACTATCTCCAATTTACGACAAGAAAACCGGAAGTGGCGCTGTGGCTTAAAGTGGTAGAGCGCTAGCCTTCAGCAAAAGAGCTCAGGGACAGCGCCCAGGCCCTGAGTTCAAGGCCCGCGACCGACAACAAAGGGGAAGAGGAGTATAGAATGCCTGATGAATAAGCGTGAGCTCCAGGTTCAAACCCAGTACTTCAGAGAGAAAGAGAGTGGGGGAGCTCTCTACCACTTGAGCAACAGCACCACTTGCTTTTTCTGAGTAGTTTTTATTAGAAACAAGAGTCTCAAGGATTTTCCTGGCAGGCTGGCTGTAAACCTCAATTCACAGACCTCAGCCTCCTGAGTAGTGAGGATTATAGGCGGGAGCCAACGGAGCCTTTTGTGTTTGTTTTGATAAGTAGTGTTTTGAAGGTCAGTGGGGTCAGGCCTTTGGGTTCCTCACCTGAGGCTTGGCGTGCCCTCTTTGGCTGAGGGAGGCAGCTGTAGGGTTTGAGATTACTACAGGCAGATGCTCTGCCACTTGAGCCATGCCTCCAGCCGCAGAATGCTACTCTCCACTGAGTCTTAAAAACAATCAAAGCACACCACTGACAAAGAAAAATAAAGACTCTGGGCTGGGAAGGTGGCTCAGTGGTAGAGTGCTTGCCTTGCATGCCTGAGGCCCTGGGTTCAATTCCCCAGCACCACATAAGCAAAAAGAAAAAAAGCCGAAAGTGGCGCTGTGGCTCAAGTGGTAGAGCGCTAGCCTTGAGCTGAAGAGCTGAGGGACAGCGCCCAGGCCCAGAGTTCAGGCCCCACGATCGGACCCCCCCCCCAAAAAAAAAAAAAAAGAAAAAAAAGAAAAATAAAGAATCATAGCACACAACGTGAAATAACAATATGAACTATAATAAGGGATTTTCAAGCATTTTTATTTTCAGACATACTTCAAAAAACACATAGTTTTTAAAAAGTTATCTTCCTAATACAGTACTTGTTTCTAAAAGCAAACAGGAAAAGTAAATTTCTCATCAGATGGTTAATCTTAATGTTGTTATACACAAGACACCAATTCAAACAAGGAGTCACTTGTAGCCACGTGGTTAGATTTATTAAAATCCAAGCCAAAGTGACAATTCTTAGTTTCAGTTAGTCTAGGACTAAACAAAAAATTTCTTAGGCTTTTATCAGTAACTTAGGACATTCTAGGTTTCTAGGTATCCAAAGCTCCTGGCGTGACTCATCTATATTCTTTCTTTTCTTCATGCTTAGGGCCTGGAGTTCTCCTCCTGGAGCTTTTTCCCTCAAGGCCAGCGCTCCACCCCTGGAACCGTAGCTCCACTTCCTCTTTATAGTAAACAAGATAGTTAAAGGCTTAAGGACTTTTCTTGCTTGTGCTGACTTTGAACCATGATCCTCAGATCTCAGTCTCCTGAGTAACTAGAGTTGTAGGTTTGAGCCAACAGTGCTTGGCTACATTTTCTTTCTTTTTATCTAAGAACAGGACTTGAACTTTAAGTTTTGGGGTTTTGTTGTGAGCCCTGGCTGGCCTAAAGCAGTTCTGTGAAAGTCGTTCTATTAATGTAGCCCTGGGCTTCAGTGGTTGAGTAATAGCTCAAGTGCATGGCTTTGTAGGATTATTATCAAAATACTCCAGGCTCGGGGCGCCAGTGGCTCACGCCTGTCATCCTAGCTACTCAGGAGGCTGAGATCTGAGGATTGCGGTTCAAAGCTGGCCCAGGCAGGAAAGTCTGTGAGACATTTATCTCCAGTAAACCACTAGAAAACCAGAAGTGCCACTGTGGCTCAAGTGGTAGGTCGCTAGCCTTTAGCTGAAACACTGAGGGACAGCACCCAGGCCCAGAGTTCAAGCCCCATGACCGACAAAAAATAATAATAATAATCCTGGATTGTGCTGTCTAGAGAGTCTGGATGTCATTCTTACTGTTATATCAAACTGAGCAAATATTCCTAAGAGAAATGTGATTTGGGTCGTGGGTTTGCTATATATCCAAAAATCCCACCAGATGTTTAGGGAAGTTTACTTCCCTCCGCCCACCCTTTGTCCAGTCCTGGGCACTGTCCTTGAGCTCTTCTGCTCAAGGCTAGCACTCAGCCACTTCCAACTTTTTGTTCATATGGTACTGAGGATTGGAACCCAGGGCTTTGTGCATGCTAGGCAAGCCCTCCACCACTAGCCACCTTCCCAGCTACTGGTCACTTTTTTTTTTTTAAATATATTTTTTTATTGTGAAAATACTGTTCAGAGGGGTTACAATTACATGGACAAGATAAGGAGTACATTTCTTATCAAGCATTGTAGCCTTCTCCTTTGTTTCCCCTTCCCATCCCTTCCCATCCTCCCCCCATCCCCCCACCAAAGTTGTAAAGTTCGTTTTTTGACATAATGACTTGTACATCTCATTGTTGCAATGGGTCCCCTGTATCCCTGTTTTAACAATTTGTTTTTTCCCTTCCCCTCCACATATACCAACATCAAATACAGTGAAAGCAGGGGTTATACCATGTTACAAAGCAACAAAGACATAATCTTATAAATATGTTAGAAACAATCACATGAAAAATCTCTCTCTTTTTTTGTCAGTTGTGGGGCTTGAGCTCTAGGCCTGGGAGCTGTCCCTGAGCAATTCAGCCCAAGGCTCATGCTCTACCACTTGAGCCATAGCGCCACTTCTAGTTTTCTGGTGGTTTGCTTTTTTTTTTTTAATTGTGGTTAAGTGATTACATAATTTCCCAAATTTCACAGTATTGTGGGATAGTGATGCTCATTTAAAGTCACAAACTCATTCTAACTTTCCTGGAGCAAATTGTCTATCACAGTTTATAACATATAACAGCGTACACATATACATCATACATGTGATCAGCAGCATGGGGTTATTTAGTAGTGGTTCGACCAGATGAGTGGAAGTTCTTTGTTTCTTAAGTCCTGTTAGTTTTGTCATATCACCTAATATTTTGGATTTAACATCCACTTATCAGGGAGACCATGTACCGTTTGTCTCTTTGCTCTTGGCTTACCTCGCTCAACATGATTCCTTCTAGCTCCATCCATTTCCCTGCAAATGCCATTATTTTGTCATTTCTAAAGGCTGCATAATATTCCATTGTGTATAGGTACCACAATTTTTGGATCCATTCATCTGTGGTGGGGCATCTGGGTTGTTTCCATATCCTAGCTATTGTTAACAGTGCTGCAATAAACATGGAGGTGCACGTGTCCTTGTATATTGGTTCCTGTTGTTCAGGGTAGATGCCTAGAAGTGGCATGACTGGGTTGTAAGGGAGGTCAATCTTTAGCTTTCTGAGGACCCTCCAGACTGCTTTCCACGGGTCACTTTTAAATCAGTAATTTCCATAACACCCAGGATGTGGTTTCCACATGTTGTTCCCTCTGATGACAGACCACACTCAGAACAAGACATGAGACTTCATCCATTGTGTGGGGACACAGGGCTGGCGGTGGCCACTGGGCAGGGCGAAGACTTGTGAGGCGAGAGCTGAGTGTGTGAGGGATGTCAGAGTGTGGACCCAGGAGCTCAGTGTGATGCTCAAGAAGCTCTTGGCACGGATTGAGCTTGGTGCCTAGAGAGGTTCAGGGCACCGTGTGTGGGCCTCATGCTTGTTCAGTTACTAGCTGGAATAGACACTTGCTCCCTGGCTTGTGAGGTTCAGGGCAGTGTGTGGCCCTCATGCTGTTCAGTTACTAGCTGGAATAGACACTTGCTCACTGGGTGTGATAGAAGGAATTACTGTACGGGGGTATGTGTACCCATGTGGGCTCAGGTGCACACACACCAGTCCTGAGGTTTGAACTTGACCTGGCCACTGTCCCTGAGCTCTGTTACTCAAACCACCTGGGCTACAATTCACCTCTGGCTTTTTTTACTGGTTAATTGGAGAGCAAAGTCTCACGAGCTTTTCTTGCTTGGCTAGCTTTGAATAACAATTCTCAGAGCTCTGCCCAAGTAGCTAGGATTATAGACATGGGTATCCAGCTGATAATGATCTTTTTGAAAGATTCTGGCGGTTGGGAAGGTGGCTCAGTGGTAGAGTGCTTGCCTTGCATGCATGAGGCCCTGGGTTCCATTCCTCAGCACCACATAAGCAGAAAAAGCCAGAAGTAGCCCTGTAGCTCACGTGGTAGGGCGCTAGCCTTGAGCTGAAGAGCTGAGGGACAGAATTCAGGCCCCGTGACTGGTTTATGTGTCACTAGTTCTTTCTTTCTTTTTTTTTTTTTTTTGGTCGGTCATGGGGCTGGAACCCTGGGCCTGGGTACTGTCCTTCAGCTCAAGGCAAGCACTCTACCACTTGAGCCTCAGCGCCACTTCCGGTTTTTATTATACTTTCCTACCCTGGCTGGCTTTGAACTGCGATCCTCAAATCTCAGCCTCCTGAGTAGCTAGGATGGCAGGCGTGGGCTGCCAACGCCTGGCAGATCCTTAGTTTTTAGCATCCAGCTTTCCTTAGAGAAGAACCCACCCAAAGTTGGACCTAAAGAAGATTGTAAAAAAACTTAAATTGACTGGGGAGGATAGGCTTGTTTAAAAGAGTAAGAAAAAGCTGTAAAAACTTAAAAGGCATTTTCTTCTTCCTTTTAGGATATTATAGGTCTCTCTACTTGTTAATTAACAGCAAGCTTCCATCAAGTGTTGAATATTCTGATTTATCTCGAGTTCCTATCGCAAAAACATTGCTGGAGAATGTCCTCAAACCACTGCACTTTACGTACAACTCCTGTCCAGAAGGCACGAGGTGGGTGAGGGGGGACTGGCCAGCCTCAGATTTGCACCTCATTAGGTGGCTTCTTCATAGGAAAATCTGAATTTGTAATTCTAATGACGTGCTTTTATTATTTTTTGTTGATTGTCAAGATCCACCAATTTGGTATAACTGTCTTCTAGAAAAAGATAAAACTGAGATTTAATCATCAGACTAAATTGAGAGCACATTAAACTTGTTTCTAGTTGCTATAGTATATGTTAAATGGCAAAACCTTTAATTTATGGATGTAGATGATCTACTTAGAAGCATTGGGGGGGAGGCGGGGGACGGTGGAATGCAGTCCTGGGGTTTGAACTCAGGGCCTAAACACTGTCCCTGAGCTTCTTTTGCTGAAGGCTAGCCCTCTACTACTTGAGCCACAGCGCTCTTCCAGCTTTTTCTGAGTAGTTAATTGGAGAAAAGAGTCTGGTGGAGCTTTCTTGCCCCAGCTGTCTGCACCCTGAGCCTCCTGAGCAGCTGGGATGACAGGCGTGAGCCACCAGTGCCCCGCTGCATGATATGTTTTAATTCTTTTTTAACCTTTGTTTTCCAGGCAGCAAGTTTTCTCCGCCTTCACGGAAGAGTTTCTGACAGCACCTTTCACAGATCAGATTTTCCATTTTGTCATTCCGGCGTTAGCAGATGTACACACTGTTTTCCCCTATGAGCCCTTTCTGAGTGCACTGTTACTGGAGAGTAGATATTCAAAAAGGAGCAGTGGCGCACCATGGCTTTTCTATTTTGTCTTAACAGTTGGCGAAAATTATTTGGGTACGAACCTCAAGATAGAATTTGTCTATACTCCTACATAGGTAGCCTGAGCAGAGGAGCCCAGAGGAGGCCTGACGTGGCTGGTGGGCTGCGGGGTGCCTGTGGGAGGGTGTCTTTGCTGAAGGTCTGATTTGGGAGGCTGCAGGCAAGCAGCGAGGAAGGCTGCCAAAGGCCCAGGTTTTAGGATACAGTGAGCAAGCTAGCAGATTGAAACGGAGTCCTCTTCTGATGCAACGGGATATGTGCAGTGTGCCTCTTCCATAGTTTCCTCTTCCTGGAGGCTGTTTTAGCATGTGCAGACGTGAGCTCTAGGGGCAGCCAGGTTGTTTGCCTACTCTGCACTACCACCTCTGACCAGGGCGGTTTTTTCCCACTTGCAGCAGTTCAGCAGTGGGTACCACTGCGTGTCTTTGCTTAGTGCTTAGACTGGCTTTCTGGGAAGGGTCAGATCTCACAAGGCGTGAGACTTAGGTGCTGGCTGCATAGATTGTTACCTGTGCTTATCTGACCCAAGTACCAAACGTTGGAGTTCACACAGCCTCTGTGTTGGGCTCTGTGGTTCACCACGGTGATTCACAGAAACACTTAGGTTTACCGGTTTGTTCCGGAGGCCGTGGCTCCTGCAGCCAGGTGTGAGATGCCTCGGGATTCAGGGAGAGCCTGGGGCCCACGCACCTCTCTGGTGCTCAGCCACTCAGGGCCTTTGGGGCTTCTTTTCCTCCCTTCCTCAAAGACTGCAGAGTGTGCTCAAAGTTGAAGCCTGCTCGTCCTGGACGTTTTTGGGTAGCAGCCAGTCACCTCTAGCAAGAACCCTGGTGGGCATGTCAAGAATAGTCTTGAGACCCCTGCTTTCAGGATGTTCTAAGGCTTAGAGGTATTCCAGGCGAAGACCAAGTGCAGCGCGGAACACCACGGTCACACTGACAGGCAGTGTCCTCTGCTCACACGTGTGAACAGATAAAGAACATGAGACCTGGCTTCCACCTCTAAGGTAGCCTCTCCCTAACTGTGTCCTGCTGGTTGTCTCCCAAAGGGGTGCTCTCGGAAGACGGCCTGCTGGTGTACCTGCGTGTTCTCCAGACCTTCCTCTCCCAGCTCCCCGCCTCACCCACTGGTGCCAGCCACCGGGACTCGTCCAGCGACTCTGAGGATGAACAGGAGGAGGCGGACCACCGCACCAGCCCTGTAAGCAGAGATGCAGAGGCGGCCTGTCCATGCTCCGTCCTGGCTTGGCCAGGCCCCGAGCCCCTGCCGCACACCCCGTCCTCCTCTCTGCAGTGGACTGTATTCTTCTGCACCTTTCTTGACACTGTAGTATGAATGTGGAGATGCCTAGCTTTGTTTTTTATGTAGAATTGGGTCATACTGCATACTGATTTCATTATAATGAAATTATTAGCCCAGACAATTAAGTGCCTTCTTAACCTAGCCTGTTGAAATGAGTAATTGCTACTTTTTTTCCCTCCCTTTTCCTTCCTCTTCCTCCCTTTTCCTTTCCCTCCCTCCCCTTTCCCTTTCCCTCCCTCTTCTTTCCCTTTCCCTCCCTCCCTCCCTCCCCCTCCCTCTCTCTTTGATGGTGCTATAGTTTACACTGCATCTCACATGAAGCAAGTGCTCTACCACTTAAGCCAGACCCTAGTCCTTTTTTTCTGTCAATATTTTTCAGATAGGCCTGGGGCCAGCCTTGGACCACAATGCTCCCACCTATGTCTCCTGCATAGCTGGGATTACAGGTATGACCCACCACACTTAGCTTTTTGTGAGATGAGAGGGGCCTCACTGACTTTTTTTGGGGGGCCATCCTCAATCTCTGACCTTGCGGATGGCTACCTCCTTGGTAGCTGGATTACAGGCTTCCCCCGCAGTTTCTTCTACTTTTACAGAAGCTGAAGGTTAAAATTTACTTCGAAATACATCCTCAAATTATCCTTAAGTACACCTCCCTTTTTTCTGTTTTTTCTCTGCAGTGCTGGGATTGAACCCACGGCCTTGCACATGTTTGGCAGGTGCTTCTGCTCAGCTCCTCATTTCTTAATGTTATGAGTTTACTGCATACCTCAAGGAATTTAAAGAGCCCTTGCAGTTATGTACACATCAATTTATGTGTTTTGCTAAAGAGATACTGTTGTTGACCTTTTTCAATTATTTGGAATGACTTGAGGCATGGTTATCAGAGGTTGCTAACTGTCAGGGGTCTTTTTGTGTGCGCACCTGTGTGCGCTGGTACTGGAGTTTGAACTCCGTGTCTGCACTGGCTTGGCTTTTTCGTTCAAGGCTGTCATCCTTCTTGAGCTTCACTTCTGGTCTTTTGGTGGTTAAGTAGAGATAGGAGTCTCTTGGATTTGTCCGCCTAGGCTAGCTTCAAACTGGAATCCTCAGATCTCAGCCTCCTGAGTAGCTAGAATTACAGAAGTGATCAATAGTCCTTTCCATTGAGGTGAAAGGGTGGGTTGTACTGGGCAGCCGTGCACACGGCTTTCTTTGCAGCTTGATGGGCACCTGGGAGGGCACCTGGTGGACGTGTTAGGACAGGCTCTGCTGGAGCTGCTGGGATGTGAATAACCCTTACGTAAGCCCTGTAGTAGCCATGCTTGTTGAGTACAGGAGGATTGTAATAGAGCACTGTTTGCTCAGACTAGTTTTCTGGTGTGTTTTAGGAGGACGGCAGGGTCTCGACCCCATACATAACTGAGGAGTGTCTGAAGAAGCTGGACACAAAGCAGCAGACCAACACCCTGTTGAACCTAGTGTGGAGGGACTCGGCCAGTGAGGAAGTCTTCACCAGGATGGCCTCCATCTGCCACACGCTGATGGTGCAGCACCGCATGGTGGTGCCCAAAGTCAGGCAGGTCTCCTCCCTCTCCACGGCACAGACAGCACGGGCTCTTCCCCGCTCTGCACCGCACACTGAGAGTCTGAGATTGATGTACTTCATTTGTTATCTTTGAGAAGAACGCTTTTCTGGACCGCTAATGCTGTTAGAGTCAACGTGTTAGCAAATGAAGTTCATTTCCTTTTCCGTGATACCTTGCGTATGAGCGTGTAAGATACTACTACGCCCTTTTTAACAATCGGCATGCGTTGGGTACACAGGAAAGGGGGGATTTCATGGTGACAATCTCCACAGTGTCTGCAAAGGATTCCTCGAGTCTTGTCGTTTTCAAAATAGAGGTCTTTCACTTCCTTGGTTAAATTCATGCCTACGGACCTCATTGTTTTTGAGACCATTGTGAACGGAATTGTTTTCCGGATTTCATTCTCAGCCTGTTCGTTATGGGTGTATAGAAAAGCTAATGATACCCTGCTGTAAGTTTGTTTTTTTGTTTTTGTTTTTTTTTTTGCTGTCTATTTGTCTATCTATTGTTGGTCATGGGGCTTGAGCTCAATGCCTGGGCATTTCCCCTGAGCTCCTTGGCTGAAGGCTAGCACTCTACCTCTTTGAATCACAGCACCACTTTTGGTTTTCTGGTGTTTAATTGGAGATAAGAGTCTCACAGACTTTCCTGTCTGGGCTGGCTTTGAACTTTATTTATTTTTTTGGTCATGGGGCTTGAACTCTGGGCCTGGGCACTGTTCCTGAGCTCTTCAGCTCAAGGCAAGCGCTCTATTACTTGAGCCACAGCGTCACTTCTGGTTTTCTGGTGGTTACTTGGAGATAAGAGTCTCACAGACGTTCCTGCCTAGTCTGCCAGGCTGGCTTTGAACCGTGATTCTCAGATCTCAGTCTTCCTGAGTAGCCAGGATTATAAACATGAGCAACTGGCATCTGGCTTGCAATTTTATTATTATTATTATATTTTTAGTTGTTATGGGAAGTACATAAGCCAGGTAATTAGTACATTTCTTGGACAATGTCAGCCCTTTCTTTGCTCTCTTTCTCTTTCTATATATATTTGCTTCATTTCTTTAGGTATTTATCGTATGTAGAAGCGTCTGTTGAGTGTACGATTTATTTATAATCCGCAGATAAGGATAATTTGGCCTTTTCTTTCCTGTTTGAACCCCCTTATTTCTCTTGAGTGCCGCGGCTGGGATTCTAGCATGTTGAAGAGCGGGGGGGAGGCTGTTGTTGACTATATATGTAGCCTATATTAATTTTCGGGTGAATTCCCCCTATTCCTAGTTTCTTTAAGAGCTTTTCACATAAAAGGTTCTGAATTTTGCCCTCGGCCTTTTATGCTATCCATTGCAGTGCTCTTACATTTTTGTTGTGCAGCAGAATGGGACGTTGTACTTCATATGCAGTCTTGGATCCAGCCACCCATGTGTGGAAAGTAACTCTAGTTGGCAGTTTTTTTTCCCTAATCCTGGGGCTTGAACTCAAGGCCTGGGTGCTGTCCCTGAGCCTCTTTGTACTCAAGGTTAGTGCTCTATCACTTGAGCCACAGCGCCAGTTGTGGCTTTTTCTGTTTCTGTGGTACTGAGGAATCAAACCCAGGACTTCATGCATGCTAGGCAAGCGCTCTACCACTGAGCCACATTCCTAGCCCTTAGTTGGCAAATTTTTGTTTTTGAAAACTTTGAAATAAACTTCTCCTTGGGATGAAACAAGAAAATGTGCTAGCTTTCCAGTATGGCAGATTTGGGATTAGATCATTATGACAATGATCCTGAACTATTTTCTTTCCTTCTGTTTGGAGTATACTGCAGTGGTTTCTTGAACATTTAATAGGAAAACATTTAATTAAACACTGTGTGAACCATAAAATAGGAATTCTGGAACAAGGGCCTGGTGGTACAGAGTCAGACTGCACATGGTTGATGGGTCCTGCAGTTTCACGTGGACTGGAAGAGTAAGGAATGCACTACCAGCTGACGCTGCCTTGTAAACACAGTGTCCCCAGCTGCTCCGGGCCCCTGGGTGGTTGTTGCTCATGAGTGTGTGGTGGTGGCTGCTGGTAGCCCCATTTGGCTGCCAGCTCTCCATAGGCAGATGTGAGACAGCTGGCTGTGAGGCCTAGGCTCTGCAGCTGAGCCCGGATGTGTGATGCCTGCTTTCTGGCTGTGTGCACTGTGCCGAGGGTGGAGATTGCCGGACAGAAATGCACCAGTGCCCTGGCTGAGGGTTTACTGATGAGTGATTCCTAAAGGTGCTTAAAAGATAAAGGATTCTCCATGTAGCTCTATTTTTATGAGTATGGCTCCTGTATCCACCAAAAGAACTACTGGAGGGACTTTATGATTTAAATAGGTTTGAAAGTGGAGAGTGGTTTTCACAGCTTTTAAGACATTATGTAGAGTGTTGTTGTATTCTTACCTCAGTTTCTTTTCTTGTCTTTTCTTTTTTTTTTTTTTTTAGTCCGGTCGTGGGGCCTGAACTCTGGGCCTGGGCGCTATCCCTCAGCTCTTCAGCTCAAGGCTAGCGCTCTACCACTTGAGCCACAGCGCCACTTCCTGCTTTTTTCTTTTTGCTTATGTGGTGCTGAGGAATCAAACCCAGGAACTCAGGGTTGCAAGGCAAGCGCTCTACCACTGAGCCACCTTCCCAGCCCCCTCAGTTTATTTTCAAGCTGGTAAATTGTGTTAACTCTGCCAAGATTCATTCCTGAAATGCTCAGCCATTCCCTTTTTTATGTTCACATTTTTGGCTCTTCAGTTTTAATTTCTGTTTAGCATTGATTGTCAGAAGTTACCTAGTTTGGTGTTTTTTTTAAGGCAAGGGTAAAGGAGGTGTGTGGGAAGCTCCTGTGGATATGGTAGGTGTGGGGAGCAGTCTTTTCACCGTGCCTTTCCTGTGATGTTTGGATTAAGGAAATGAACTATTTATTTATTTTTGTCAGTCATGGGGCTTGAACTCTGGGCCTGGGCTCTGTTCCTCAGCTCTTGAGCTCAAGGCTAGTGCTCTTACCACTTGAGCCACAGCACCATTTCTGGTTTTCTGAGTGGTTTATTGGACATAAAAGTCTCATGGTCTTTCCTGCCCGGGCTGGCTTTGAACTGAGATCCTCAGATCTCAGCCTCCTGAGTAGCTATGATTATAGGCGTGAGCCACTGGCACCTGGTTGTTGTTTTTTTGTTTTTTGTTTTTTTTATTGTGAACATACTGTACAGAGGGGTTACAATTACATGGGCAACTGGCACCTGGTTTAATGAACAAAAATTTTAAGTTGTCACTTTTTTTTCCTCTCTTTTTTTTGGGGGGGGGGGGGGAGGGGGTCCAATCCTGGGGCCTGAACTCTGGGCCTGGGCGCTGTCCCTCAGCTCTTCAGCTCAAGGCTAGCGCTCTACCACTTGAGCCCCAGCACCACTTCTGGCTTTTTTCTTTTTGCTTATGTGGTGCTGAGGAATCAAACCCAGGGCCTCATGCATGCAAGGCAAGCGCTCTACCACTGAGCCACCTTCCCAGCCCTCTGTTTTTTTTTTTTTTTGGTTGGCCGTGGGGCCTGAACTCTGGGCCTGGGCGCTGTCCCTCAGCTCTTCAGCTCAAGGCTAGCGCTCTACCACTGAGCCACCTTCCCAGCCCTCTGTTTTTTGTTTTTTGGTCGGTCGTGGGGCCTGAACTCTGGGCCTGGGCGCTGTCCCTCAGCTCTTCAGCTCAAGGCTAGCGCTCTACCACTGAGCCACCTTCCCAGCCCTCTGTTTTTTGTTTTTTGGTCGGTCGTGGGGCCTGAACTCTGGGCCTGGGCGCTGTCCCTCAGCTCTTCAGCTCAAGGCAAGCGCTCTACCACTGAGCCACCTTCCCAGCCCTCTGTTTTTTTTTTTTGGTTGGTCGTGGGGCCTGAACTCTGGGCCTGGGCACTGTCCCTCAGCTCTTCAGCTCAAGGCTAGCGCACTACCACTTGAGCCCCAGCACCACTTCTGGCTTTTTTCTTTTTGCTTATGTGGTGCTGAGGAATCAAACCCAGGGCCTCATGCATGCAAGGCAAGCGCTCTACCACTGAGCCACCTTCCCAGCCCTCTCTGTTTTTTTTTTTTTTTGGTTGGTCGTGGGGCCTGAACTCTGGGCCTGGGCGCTGTCCCTCAGCTCTTCAGCTCAAGGCAAGCGCTCTACCACTGAGCCACCTTCCCAGCCCTCTGTTTTTTGTTTTTTGGTCGGTCGTGGGGCCTGAACTCTGGGCCTGGGCGCTGTCCCTCAGCTCTTCAGCTCAAGGCCAGCGCTCTACCACTGAGCCGCCTTCCCAGCCCTCTGTTTTTTGTTTTTTTGGTCGGTCATGGGTCTGAACTCTGGACCTGGGCGCTGTCCCTCAGCTCTTCAGCTCAAGGCCAGCGCCCTACCACTTTCAGCTTTTTCTGTGTATGTGGTGCTGAGGAATCGAACCCAGGGGTTCAGCACTCTACCACTGAGTCACCTTCTCAGCCCTGCTTTTTTTTTTTTTAAGTTGTCACTTTTTCTTACTTTTGGACTTGGAGATCTAGATTTGGCCTTTATGTTTTTCTTAGGTTAGGGGTATGTTTAGTGTGCTTGCCTGGCATGTGAGAGGCCTGAGTTCCATCCCCAGCCACACACCGTTGTACTATTTCTTCAGAAAAATGTGCTCACTATTTGAGCACATAAGCCCTAATCCGTTCCATTATAAACCAAGGCGTCAGTGCCATCCCTCTCTTGGGAGGTCTGGAGCTAAGGAGGCTCCCAGGTCATCTGCCTCGTGTCGTGTGCTATTGAATGGAGCCTGGCTGCAGTTGTGTGGTGCTTCGATAAGCTGCCCAGGCTGGCTTTGAACTGTGATCCTCAGATCTCAGCCTCCTGAGTCGCTAGGATGACCGATGTGAGCCACTGGTGCCTGGCTCCGGCTAGAATTTTTTCATGAAAAATGTATGGATTCTTTCCCCGGGGATTCAGATTGAATATAGGGCCTAGGGTATGCTAGGCTAGCACACTACTTGCAGAGGTGCTCTTACCCCATATCTTCTCTTACTCTATTTGCCTGTGGATGCTGGATATAGTTCTCAGCAAATAAAAACACACAAAAGCAAGGAAAAAAGGTGTGTTGGGTTTTTTTTATTTGTTTGTTTGAGGCAGAGCACCACAGTGGTCCGAGTCTGGCCTTAAACTCCCAATCCTCCTACCCCAGCCTCCTGAGCACTGGGATTATATGCATAAATCACCATGTCTAGTTTTAGAAAAACACTTATAGATACCGATACATAAACTTAGTTTCTATTAGTTAAGCATTTTAATATCTCAGGTATGTATTATTTTCTAATACAGCACCAGTTTCAACAGTACACATTTTTTTTCTATTTAGTAAGGATTCTTGCCCATGCACAAAAGTGAGACTCAGTGGGAAAAAGCATAAAGAGCTGACGGAGGTTAAACACAAGTCTCTGAGTCAACATTTGGTACCTTCGCCTCAACCTCCGAAGTATTGCAGATTTATTACAATGGCTGTCACGAGCACACCCCGTGACCAAGTGGGGTCATTACCACTCGAATTCCCAAGGGAAAGGGGGTGCCTGTCAGAATCAGCCTGGGAGCTCTGGATGGTACTGAGGAGAGCTTGGATCAAGCCCTCAAGTGTGCTGCCTTGCACAGATACGTGCTCTACACCCGCACTTCCTTCCTGCGGGGGCCCGGAAGACCTCTCCTCTGCTGCTCCCTGCTTTCACTCTCTTATATGAAAACCAAATTTCAGCTATTTTTCAGCTTTTTGTCCTTACTGGCCTCAAACCACAGTCCAGCCAGCAGCTGGGAACATAGGTGTATGTGCCACATGGGACCTGTGTGTGTGTGTGTGTGTGTGTGTGTGTGTGTGTGTGTGTGTGTAGCCAGCAGCTGGGAACATAGGTGTATGTGCCACATGGGACCTGTGTGTGTGTGTGTGTTACTGTCTTGCTAACATTTTTACCCAGATCTCAAACTATAACCCTCCTGTTTCCTGAATAGCTGAGAATGTAGGCAATGTTTTTTTTATATTTTGACTTTTTTTTTTTTTTGGGGTCGTGGGTCTTGAACTCTGAGCCTGGGCACTGTCCCTGTGCTCTTCAGCTCAAGGTGAGTGCTTAACCACTTGAGCCACAGTACCACTTCTGGTTTTCTAGTGGCTTTTTGGAGATAAGAATCTCATGGACCTTTCCTGCCTGGGCTGGCTTTGAACCGCGATCCTCAGATCTCAGCCTCCTGAGTAGCTAGGATGACAGGTGTGAGCCACTGGCGCCCTGCTTATTTTGACATTTTTGTGTTTAAGGGAACTGACATAAAATGCGTCTTGAGGATCTTAGATGTTGAGTGTTGTTGCTTGCCTCAAAAGTGTTACTTTTGAGTAGTGTTTTGATACGATATGCTGCCAGGAGAGAGCATGCTCAGCTTGTGGGGAAAAGCACCAGCACACCCTGTGTGGAGCGGTCTCAGAGCCTCCAGCATCTGTTGAAGGCTGTACTACACGTGCTCTTTGTAATACAAGTGACACTGTTTTAAGAGTGTGTGTTGTCTTCACGGCATTCGTTGTTGTGTTGGTTTTAAGACGTGTGTTAAATGGCCACTGGCTTACCTGTGTGTCCCCGTTTCTTTCCAGGCTCCTCTACAGCTTAGCCTTCAATGCCAGGTTTCTGAGGCACCTTTGGTTTCTCATCTCTTCCATGACAACGCAGATGATCACAGGGTATGTGTCACGCCGATTCCACGTTGAGCCAAGTGTATGGAAAGTCGCAACTAATGTAAAACCTTCTATGGAGTTTTTTAAGTACTACATAGGCTTATTGTGACATGTTAGAATAATTGTTTCCCTGTTGGCCAAAGAAATTACTGCCTCATTTTGCAGTTAACTTGTATGCACACATAATTAAGAGTATGAACTTTATCTGAAAGGAAATGGGCTTTTTAAATCCTGGTCATTTGGTTTGGGTTTGGGGGACAGGATCTCACTACTGTGTGGCCAGGCTGGCCTCACAGTTGCTGTTGGGCTTCAGCCCCCGAGCACTGGGGTTCTAGCTGCATCTCACCGTGCCTGGGAAAGCTTAATGATGGATGGGACTGTTCTTTTATGGATAGGATGACTGCCATGATTCTATTTAATCTCAGTGAAACTTAAGTAAGTGAAGGGAGCTTTTAACAAGTACCGCGGAAGCTGGTGAAACTCAGAAAGGTTGGGTCATTTTCCTTGAATCAGTACCGAGCGGCAGAGCAGAGATAGAGACAACTAGACTGCCGTCGCCTCTACAAAAGGAGAAAAGGTTTGGTCTTGAGTGTGTTCCATCACACTCTGGGTTTTGTTGTCCTTTACTGCCTCCTGTGGATGCCTGCCTTGGTTTTATGATCAGCACGTTTACTTGAGGTAAAGAGGTTGGTGATGGTTAGGGCAGGAAGTCACTGTTTACCCCAGCTTAGCAACAGAGGTGCTGCTGAGCCTCCTGACCATCGCTCATCTGTGCATGGCATTCGTCTGCGGAGAGGAGATGGAGGCATGAGGTGTGAAAGAAAGATGATGCTGTTGATTGCATTAAATTAATAACACTGCTTTGTGAGGAGATACGAATTTGGAAAACATTTCTTCAAAGGCAGTTGGAAATTTGAGTTCTGTCTAGTTTGTTAAACTCCTTCCAGAAACTTGAACAATGTATTAATTCCTAATATATGTTGCATTACACGATCATTGGGAATAAGTTTAAGATGAAATGTGGCATTTTCTGAAAGTGACAAATTTTATTCGGAGCTTCTTTAGCTGGGGGTGTGCTCCTGGTCGTCCTCGAGGCGGGGCACACAGGGCAAGCCCTGTCTGCGGTCCCACTGATTGTAAGTGACACAGCCAGCTTCCCTGGGTTTTAATGAATCATTCACGTTTCAGTAGATGCTGGGTTTTATTTCCCATAACTAGCTTGGACTGTTTGCAGCAGGACACTGGAGTCCTTGTTGATCGCAGGAGAGTGGCTACACAGTCCTCCATACGTTTCTGGCCCATCTCCCCAGTTCCACTTTCTGTTGTTAAGGTTGAAATGATTACTTTGCGTTCACCTCGTGCAGTTAAGGAACACAAATAGTAAGCAGGTTGGTTAGTTACCCATCTTTTCAGAGAGCTAGAATGCGTTGACTTGTTTTTTGTGTGCTGATGCGAGGGCTTGAACCTGGGGCGTTGTGGTCTTGCTTAGCTTTTTCATTCATAACTGGCAGAGTTGTTTTATTTTCACTAAAAATTTCTGGCATTGTTTCTTTTATCACTTCCCAAACTAAAACTGATCTTATTAAAATAACCCTTTGTGTTTTTTCTTGTTTCCCTCCTCAAGGTCCATGGTGCCGTTGCTGCAGGTGATCTCCAGGGGCTCCCCCATGTCTTTCGAAGATTCTGGGCGGATCATCCCCCTCTTTTACCTCTTCAGCTCCCTGTTCAGCCACTCGCTGATTTCTATCCATGACAATGAGTTCTTCGGTGACCCCATCGAAGGTGAGACCTAGGCGGTCATTTGCTGCTGCCCACGGGGCCTGTGGGTTTCCATAGATGGCGGGAAGTTGTACATCTTTTCACTCCAGCTTTTTCGCGTCTCCAGCTGTAGGCCAGAGACGGTCATCCATGATGCCTTTCTCTCTGGAGGAGCTTGTCCTGCTGTCCCGCTGTCTGCGCGACGCCTGTCTGGGCATCATCAAGCTGGCCTATCCTGAGACGAAGCCCGAGGTGCGTGAGGAGTACCTGGTGGCCTTTCAGAGCGTCGGGGTGAGCACCAGCTCTGAGATGCAGCAGTGCATACAGAGGGAGCAGAAGCGCTGGGTCCAGCTCTTCAAGGTAAGCAGGTGTGGTTGGGGCAGGGGTGCTGACTTGTTTGGGCTTGATTCATTTTTCTCTTTTTTAGAATTGTTATTATAAAGGTGATATACAGAGGGGTTTCAGTTACATTTGATTCATTTCATGTGAATCAATAAGGTTTGAGCCAGGCTCCAGTGGCTCATAGCTGTAACCTTAGCTACTAAGAAGGCTAAGATCAGGGAAGATTCAAAGCCAGCCCAGACAAAGAGGCTGTGAAATTCCTATCTCTAACCAGTGAAAAGTCCAAAGTGGAGGTGTGGCTCAAGTGGCAGAGAGTCAGCCCTTACTAGAAAAATCCAAGCAAAAACATGAGGCCCTGAGGTCAAGTACTAGTACCAGCATAAAAGGTTAACAAACAAAAAAGTCAAAGCAAGATTGCAAGGCCCTGAGTTCAAGGTCCAGTGTGTATAGATTCATTTCAGACATTGTTTTTAAGTTGTAAAACTTTTCAGAAAAGCGTCTTTGTTTTCGCATTCCCTGTTTTTATTGTTGGTGTGAAGGTGCTGCACAGAGGGAGGGGTCAGTTCCACCTCCTGACCGGAGGTGACCGAGCCGCCCCTTCGCTTTCCTCCAGCTTTCCCCGCCTGTCATCCTTGCTACTCAGGAGGCTGAGATCTGAGGATCGCGGTTCAAAGCCAGCCCAAGCAGGAAAGTCTGTGAGACTCTTATCTCCAATAAACCACTCAGAAAACCGGAAGTGGCGCTGAGGCTCAAGTGGTAGAGTGCTAGTAGGCTTGAGCTGAAGAGCTGAGGGACAGCACCCAGGCTCAGAGTTCAAGCTCCATGACCAACTTAGTTTGTTTTCCATGGAGTGTATACTGAGTACCATGCCTGCATTGCATTGTTCAGAATTGTTTGGTTTTAAAAGCCCTGTTTTTAACTTTTTTTTATGTATCCTTTATAAATTGCCCCAACCACTTTCTGTAAAGTATTGTAGGTGAAGCATAAATAATTTTCTTTTAAATAAGTGTGTGTGTGTGTGTGTGTGTGTGTGTGTGTGTGCACGCGCACGTGCATGCGCGCACACGCACCAGTCCCGGAGCTTGAAGTCAGGGCACTGTCCTTTAGCCTTTTTACTAAAGGCTGGTGCTCCAGTCCTTGAGCCACAGCCCCACTTTGGCTTTTTGATAGTTACTGTAATTGGAGAGAAGTTTCACTGACTTTATGTGCAGAGTGGCTTTAAACTGGGATCCTCAGATGAGACTTCTGAGTAAGTAGGATTATGAGCATGAGCTACCAGTGCCCAGCAAGTATACATTAACTATTTGGTGGCCGGTGGGGGTCATTGTGACAGTTGTACACATGTATTCCAATCAGTCTTTCTCCTAGAAGTCTCTCTCCCTTCCTCTACCCCTTCCTAAAACTGTTCCAGTAGATTTCATTGTTCTGTTTCCATCCATGGAAACAGTCTACCTCACTCATGTTTAATATTTTTCACTAAAAATTACATTACAGATTTTTTGAACCCTTTAAAAAGCAGATTAACAAAGGTAGGATGGTAATTTTTTAATAATAGGTTGTATATAAATTATTCTAAATTTGTTTATTTTTGGCCATGCAGAGAGAGGTTAAGAGTAACCATGGCAGTAAAATGCCACTGAGAATATAACTATTGAGGTTTGGAGAGAGAGAGAAGGAAAAGGGTGCTTGACTTCCCATGAAAACATATCTAGTCAGCTAAAATTGCTCATTAGCGGAGTGGGAGCAGGAGAAATGCATTTTCCAAATTGAATGCTAGATTTACAGTCCGTTTAGCACCGTGACCTTGCGCACACTGATGTTGAGTGCAAGTCATCAGCTGTCCCTTCAGGTCTTTTATCACTGCTTTTGTCAAGCTATCTATTTAATTGAAAGAAGCTAATTGAATGAAAATGATCAACTAAGCTTGTATTAATATTGCTAATGGAACTTTCTTCTTGGCCATGTTTGGAAAAAGATGTCAAGCCAGACTTTAGGAAAGGCCCATTAATGCTTGCACTTAACCTGATGGGCTAATTAAGGAATGCTTATTCATTCTACAAGTCCACCAGAGTCTCTCTCCAGCCCATTCTGCCTGATTTTACAACACATTTCACTTAGGAGCATGAGCATTAGCAGCAGTGAAAGTAACTGATAATGTTTTGATTGTGTGAATACAGGACTAATGCACCATTGAATTCATAATTTGTGCAGATTAATGTAATACATGTTTGCACAATTTATTTTAATTACCTATCTTTGTAATCCTAAGTAAACTTTAAAGTCATATGTTGAGTCCTTAGTATTTGCTTTCTTCAAGATTGACAATTGTGCAGTTTTTCTAAGTTAAAAATACACTATCAAGCCCATTGCTGGTGGCTCACACCTGTCATCCTAGCTACACAGGAAGCTGAGATCTGAGGAACGTGGTTAGAAGCCTGCCCAGGTTGGAAAGGTTGTGAGACTCTTAATCTCCAATAAACTACTCAGAAAAAGCTAGAAGTGGAGCTGTGAATAAAAGTCACATAGCCTTGAGTAACAGAAGCACAGGGACAGCACCCAGGCCCTGAGTTCAAGTCCCAGGACCAGCACACAAAAATAAAAGAAAAAGAAGCCATCACACCTATTAAGACCTGATTATGAGCCAGGCACCAGTGGCTCACGCCTGTAATCCTAGCTACTCAGGAGGCTGAGATCTGAGGATCAGGGTTCAAAGCCATCCTGGGCAAGGAAAGTCTGTGAGACTCTTATCTCCAATAAACCACTAGAAAACTGGAAGTGGCACTGGGGCTTAAGTGGTAGAGCTGTAGTTTTGAACTAAAGAGCTGAGGGACAACGCCCAGGCCCAGGACTTGACAGCAACAACAACAAAAAAGACTTGATTATGAGCTGGAGCCTGTGGCTCACACGTGTAATCCTACCTTCTCAGGAGGCTGAGATCCAAGGATTATGGTTCAAATCCAGTGCCCAAGCCTAAGTTCAAACCATCATAACTAGGGGGGGGGGGGGGACGGGACTGAGAGCGGGGAGAGAGGGGGCAGGGCAGATGACTTGATTATGGGAACATGTTTTCTTTTTGTAATGAATTAAATTCTGAGGTTTATGCTAGCAATGCTTCCTCATAAATATATGCTAACAGACTGCAGAGTTGTCTTTAAGCCCCCTAGAGTTGCATAATTTTCTGTGACAGGCTTGTTTGTCTTTAGGACATTAAAAATATCTGCATTGGTAATACTGCATAAGGTAATTTCCATACTGGTCCAGTTTTGTTTTGCTTACATGTGAAATGAAAATTCTGTGGTGCTAAGAGGAGTGAGACACCTCTAACCCCAGCATTGGGAATGCTGAGACAAGGCCAGTTTGAGCTACGTAGCATTCCTGCTTCAAAAAATGAAAAGAAGGGGAGTAGCCCTTGTATAGTAAGCTGCTTTCATGTGTGCCGGGGTGACTCACTGCACTATTAATCAATGAAGGCGTTAAGAATTAGGTAAAATGGCCGGGCGCTGGTGGCTCACGCCTTTAATCCTAGCTACTCAGGAGGCTGAGATCTGAGGATCGCAGTTCAAAGCCAGCCTGGGCAGGAAAGACCATGAGACTCCTATCTCCAATAAACCACCAGAAAACCGGAAGTGGCTGTAGCTCAAGTGGTAGAGCGCTGGCCTTGAGCTGAAGAGCTGAGGGACAGCGCCCAGGCCCAGAGTTCAGGCCCCACGACCAACCAAAAAAAAAAAAAAAGAATTAGGTAAAATGGGGGCTGGGAAGTTGGCTCCGTGGTAGAGCACTTGCCTTGCATGCATGAGGCCCTGGGTTCGATTCCTCAGCACCACATAAGCAGAAAAGGCCGGAAGTGGTGCAGGGCTCAAGTGGTAGAGCTCTAGCCTTGAGCTGAAGAGCTGAGGGACAGTGTCCAGGCCCAGAGTTCAGGCACCACAACTGACCAAAAAAAAAAAAAAAAAGAATTAGGTAACACACACATACACACACAGCTAGACCCCAATAATTCGAAGCCAGCCAAGACAGCAAAGTCCATAAGAACCTCAACTTCAACTCCACTTAGCCACCACAAAAGCTGTACATAGAGCTGGGCTTAAGGGGCCTAGCTGCTAGCCTAGCTAGCCTTGAGCAAAAAAGCTCAGGGACAATGCTCAGGCCTCGAGTTCAAGCCCCAGGACCAGCACAAAACACAACACACACCATATTACACCTTTTTTTTTTGTGGTCTTAGGGATTGAACCTTGGTCCTTGTGCATGTCAAGCAAATGCTGTGCCACTCAGCCACATCTCCAGCTCTGACAGTCTATTCATTTTGTTTAAGATTGATTGGTTTAGGTTTGAAATCATATTTTGTATAAAGACCTTTGAACTTAAAATAGACCTTTTTAAAGGATTCCTGTGGTTTGAGACATAACCCCATCCCAAACTATTTTATACATACCATTGAGTTGAATCCTAGAAATAATAAAAACCAAAGCATAATTGAGGATGAGCTGTTAGCAGAATTTCCTTTAAGAAAAAACATGATGTTTATTTGGGAAATGCTACTGGCTTACTCCATAGTGGCCCCTTGTAAGAGTGCTCCTTCATCCACCCAGACAGTGTTGTATTGCTTCTTCTGTCCCAAGATGGTGGAAACCCATGTGGTCCCTATTTATGGAGGAGGACAGCCATATCCCTCCTCTAGGAACTGCAAAATAAAATTATTTATTTTTTGTTGTTGTTGTGGGGCTTGAACTCAGGCCTGGGTGCTGTCCCTCAGCTCTTCAGCTCAAGGCTAGCACTCTACCACTTGAGCTACAGCGCCACTTCCAGTTTTCTAGTGGTTTATTGGAAATAGAGTCTCACGGACTTTCCTTGTCCAGGCTGGCTTTGAACCGTGATCCTCAGATCTCAGCCACCTCCTGAGTAGCTAGGATTACAGGTGTGAGCCACCGGCACCTGGCCAAAATAAAATTTATGAGCAGCTTTGTATATTACAGTGCCAAGTGTGAGTTGAAGCAATCAAGATAGAACCGACCAAAAAA